ACGCCGCAGCGCGGGGCAACAACACCGGGCTATTCTGCCGCCCTTCACAGCTTGACGTTGCAAAGTGTATGTTTTGTACCTCGTGTGCGTTGTTGCACGCTATTGTGTATCCCCCGATCCCTGTCAAAGTATTATTCTCCAAAATTCTCATTCTCGCGGATGCTTTTCGGACAGCTCGCGCTCGAAAACGTGTGTCCAAATAGTGTGTTCGTTTATGTGATCAACGAGATGTAATATTTCGACCATTTATATCGAGATATAATTTTAGCTCGGAATTTTTGGATGCTATAAATATGGAGATGTAACCCCTTCGGAAAGCAGGATGAGACGGACGGCTTTTCTCCCGCGAATTTGTGTTTCGTTTTTGCCTCATCGACGTCCCTATTGGTTTATTGTAAGGTACGATCGTCTCTTCGGGGCGGACGCGCCAGAGGTTCGGTAAGAGCGTTTAGCATAATTCGAGGATGCTGCGAGGGTCCCGCTTGCTTGCTCGTCGCAGACAAAAATGCCTTGTTTTGCTCCGCTTAACTCTCCTCGTTAACCGCGTTGACATCTTGACGAAAGGGCAAGCCGGGAAATAAGAACGTTAAAAACAGAGCCGCGAAAAATCCCGCGGGAATTACGCGGCGAGGTGTTAATTAAAATATACATTATCGAATAAACAAAATTGTTTATTCCTCTGGAGACTGTAGCGCGTTAGAATTTAATTTCTTTGCTAGATTATTCATTTTTCTTCTCCCGTCTTTCAAACTTTTACTAGAAAAAAGTCGCGTGTTAAAGTTCACTAAAGTGCGTTCTACAAAAATTTTTAAATCGAAATAAAATAATTTAATCCACATTTAATGTTTTTTTTTTTTTTTTTTAATAAAAAAACGTCTAATCATTCGGGGATGAAAAGAAAATCGTCTATACGCGAGTCGTTAGGAAAGCATTACTCGTTACAACTCTAATTAGAAGAGACTCTGCCATTTCTGCCGGACGAATTAAGCTAATCGTTTGCGACGGGAAGACGAACGAGAAACGTCGTTTCTCCTGGAGGAGAACGACAGGGAGAACGTTCCCGAGATAAAGACGCTAAAACGCGCACTCGAAGGGTGAAAGAAGGACGCGACCCTCGAAGAGAGCCGTGGTGAAAAAACAAGTTCGAGGGCACGAAATTAGTCGTACTCGCGGCAAAGGAGAGCATTAGACGCGCCTCGGGGGTCTGGTCCCCGCTTTCGCGCGCAGTCCCGTTTTATTCGATAATTATGCAAATGCCGGAATGATTGTCGGGCAATATGTCCTCGGAATAAAAGTACCGGGTCGGAGCAATTCGGTTATCTTTATGATTTCGGGTCGTCGAACGACGGTTGTGGAGGAGGGAGAACTGACGGGGGCACAGACGTCGCGGGAAAGAGGGCTCGTCAATCCTCGACGACAAGAGTCAAGCCCTTCATTTGCATCGAAACGTAGCCCTCTGGCTTCACCTCCTTACGCACGACGCGATCTGATCAACGTCTTGGAAAAACTGATATTAACATTATCGTTTTTTTTTCTATGCCGCTGCTTCGTTGAAAGAAGAAAATCTTTCGTTAAAAGTTTATAAGATTTATATAACAAACACGTCTCGACATCTAATGAATCGTCTATTTAATTGATCAATCAGACTATTGAGTAATTTTTTGAGTACATTCCGTATAATTAGTCTTCAGCTTCGGCTTTGGAATAATTTATCTTGATTTTTCTCGACACTGTTCAACATTGACAATGAAATGACAATATCTAATTAACACGTCATTATGATTATGGATTTTAATTAATTAAGACATTGATATGGCGGAATTTTTTATACGACTGATTTAATTAAGGAGCCTTAATAGCTCGACATATTATATATGTATAAAAAATCGTTATGAATTGCTGTTAAAATATCTTCCTTGTGCCAAGAAAGGGTGGAGCCTGCTTTGACCAATGGGCTACGGGTTGCGTGTCTCGAGTCGTTATGGAATCTGCAAATTGATAAGAATACATACTCTCCATACCTTTTTTCTTCCAGCCCTTTCTCGTTCCTTCGTCGGCAAAGTTTCTCTGTCGGACGTGAAATATATTTTTATTCATAGATTGCCTCATGGCGTTGTTCTTATTTTTTTTTTTTTTTTTTTTTTTTTAAGATCTTATAATTTATTTTCTGGCAAAGAGATCTGACACATGCGTATGAAGCGAGAAACTTGTCCGTTTTACGCGCTTCGACGAGCTGAAAAGCTGAAAGCTTTGATCCATTAGCCACGGAGATCTTTTCCACGGTTTAAAAATTTAGGGGTGAGAAATTTCTTCTCTTATTTTTTTAGAGCAAAGATTTTATGAAATAAATGAGAACGAATATAATAAAAAATTAATAGCTCAAGATTGAAATAAAAACACGTAGATACTTGTCTGATCTTTTAAGATGATCTCTGCTAAGATGATCGCGTTGAGACGCTCTGAAGACGTTGGGGAAAGGATTGCGTGATGAAAAAAATCCAACTTACAATAACAACTATTTATTTATAGGTAATAATGCTGAATTACAATGAATACACTTCTTGCCTCGAGATACTAGATTGTATAAGTCCGGTTGCGAAATCGGCGTCGCTAGTCGTCGCCGTGACTCGCAGTGGCGACGACGGTATTATACTCCCCCCCCCCTCCCCCCATTCCCAACCCCGCCCCGTCACGCTCTTCCCTTCTTCACACACGCCACCTTTTATTCTCATCTTTATTATCACCTTCAATCCGGTAACGTTTTTTCCTCGATCGAGAATCACCGTTCGGCAATTATTTCGTTCCGTCGAGCCGAGAAACCAAACGATTCTGGAGACATTTGCTATTCTTTGCGAGTCTTAATCTACAGCGATGCTTTGTGCGTCGTTAGTCGTCGATGCTTGCTTCGTCCGAAGCGTGAGAAAACCGGTTCGATCGATCCCTGTCTTCGAAATTTAATTTGTACTATTTGGCGTCGGCAAAGTTATCGTGGCGATCGGCCGATCCTCGAGCATTGAAAAAACGTTACCTCGAACGCGCCAACCCTCTCGACTTCCTCCCTTTTTCCAATCGGTAGTGGCGATGGCAAATACGGATCAGCTATCGGTGGTTAAATTTTCGTTTCTCTACGTTTAGCATCGTCTTAACGGGCTTTAGCTGGTACGATACTAGACACTATGATTATGTGAACTTTACAACACAAGAACCTTACGGCAAAAGACTTTGTACATGGATCTTAAATACGGGGACCGCCTCACCCCGGGAAATATCCTCAGCGTCTTTTTTTTTTTTTTTTTTTTTAATTGCATCGGCGCACTCGCCAGATCTATCGAAATGTCCTTTCTCTTACGCTTTTGTTTTCCTTCTCTTTTTCCATAACCGCGCACGAGGGTCGCGCCAAGAGATATTTCGCCGGATTCACCGGGCGGTCAACGCAAACGCGGGACACACGCAATATGGATTAGACTTACTTGTTTCGGTAGTAACTAAGTTATTTATATAAATAAGGTGTTGTTACGATTTATAAGACGCTAGGAGAGAATCCTCCATTGTGTTTCCGTTTTCATCATTCTCTCTTTCTTTCTCTCATTCTCTCCCTCTTTCATTCTCCCTCGCGATCTTTCTATACCTGTCGCTCGTTCTTTCATTTATTCACTCATTCTCTCATCAGATCATTCATTCTCTCTCTCTCTCTCTCTCCCTCCATCTCTTTCTCTCGTTCTCTCTCCCTTTCTCTCATTTTTCTATAATACAGTGCTCGAGTCGCAGTTCTAATCTCGTCCCATCCAGAAGAGATGTCCGTCACTTTTCGCGCTTTTGCGCGCATTTTACAAAAAGACGGCACGTTTTCGCGCCTTCGTCCGACGAGAGATCGGCGTTTTCGAAAAAAATCATCGCGAATATCCGCCTCGATCCGCGCGATACAAGCGCGATACGATCGACGTCGTCGGTCATCGAAGCCGATTATCGCGACGAGAAGATCCGCGACTCGACATTCGTTTCGCAGCGGCGATCGGATCGGGCCTCGCGTCGCCGCGACGACGTTATATAATAATATTAATAATGATAATAATACTCGAAATATCGGCGCATGCCTCGCGATGCGCGCGATCGCGACACGGGGCATCCGATCGCCCGGAATCTCTTAAAAACGATTAGCTAATTAATTCGCTCGATAATTAGGAGATAGGTACCTCTAGGAACGCATGCACGCGCGCACGCACTCTCCAGCAGTCTTTAGAAATATGCCTCTTTTCTCTCCCTCTCATTCTCTCTCTCTCTCTCTCTCTCTCCCTTTTTCTCTCTTGCTCCTCTCTCTCTCTCTCTTTTCGCTCCCGCTTTCTCTTACTATCCCGCCTACGATCCGCGATCGTCTCGGTATCGCGAGACATCACGATGTGTTCGGTCATCATCAACGGGTATAATCGATGGTACGTACATTTAGAGAATATCTCTGTGTTTTTTTTTTCTTCTTGTCGTCAATCAAACGAACGACGCGATCGCCGCGAACGCGAATCGGGAGGTCGCAGGAAGCGTGGCGAAAAATCTCGCGTCCGTTGATATGTGTGCGATCGGTCCGCGTCCTTCTCTTATACAGTTTATAGTCGCGAATTTCGCCAGACCGATCTCGATTCGAGGGGGTCCCCGTTCCGAACGTGGTCCGGGGAACGCTGGCTAAAATCAGTAGCTCGTCTATACAGGTGCGCGAAAGTGCGCTCGTTTTTTTTTTTATCGTTCGTCGAAATCGTGCAAAGTCGCGTTCGCACGATTTTCGGTTTTCGGAGAAAACTTACTAGCGTCTTCCGACGATGTAAGATACTCTCTCGTAGCCTCTCTCGATACACTCGGCATTGTTCGCACACTCGCTCGCGCGAGTCGTCATCACATTTCGGAGTTAACGAATCATCGTCACGGTTCTTCCTGCGAAGACTTTCTCGTTGCGTAGTAGGTTCGCTCTCATCTATCTCGAATCGTCAGATCTCTTCCTTCTCGTCGTCCGATCGATCACTCGCTTCGGCTGCTCGCTGCACGCTCTGCCTGCTGCCCTCGCCTGCCCTCGTCCGGCCTCTTCTAGGTCGCGCTCGTGAACAGAACGGAGTTCTTGTAGTAACCCGTTCGCGATTCTGGAACAGAAGCGATCGCAGGTGCACTCTGGAGTCCGTATTCGCAATATCTTCGATTAGCGTAGGCTTTACGTGGCTTCCGAGATCGTAAATTTTACTTATCTACAATATAAAACATTGCGCAACAACGTGGAATGAAGAATATCGGACGATCGCTACTTGACGTTAAATTTAGACCTTACAACGATGGCATGAGCGTTAGGCGTGTCGCGAGTCTTAATGGGAATACGAGAGAAAAAGAGAGAGAGGAGCGGATGTCTCGCGGATGAAGATGCGTGCGGGAGATGAATGGACGTGGGCGTAATTCCGCTACAGAGAGAAAGAGAGAGAGAGAGAGAGATTCGGTGATAGGTGATTGCAGCGGCGAAGATGGACCAGCTGGGTCATTCGATGATCGTTCATTCGGAAGAAGGCGCCGCTCACTAATTATCGTTGGCTCTCGAGACTATAGATGAACGCGAAAGGTGGACGAGTCGAGAGAGAAAGAAAAAGGGTGAAAGAGAGAGGGCCCGCGTACGCACAGGTTCGTAAATACGAGACCGGTCGAGTCATCGGCCTTAGCGCGGGCCCTTTGTGATCGAGCCGCCACTCTACTTTTTATCGAACTGTCGCTTATGATTGAAAATCACTATACGTTAATAGTCCGCGCGATTCGGTTTACTCTCTCGCCTCCTCCGTTTCGATCTGCCCGCCCTGATCCTCTCATCATTCTGTTTGATTCAACATGCGCGGTTTAATATAATTCTCTTTTTTTAGTCACTCAAATATTTAATAAAAAAAAAAAAAAAAAAAGAAATAAAGGTATGAGTTTGATAATTATAATTCCGTTATAGTTTGTTCCCCGTCAAATTTCCCCGACAAATCTCCGAATAAACATTTGATCCGCGATAAAAAGTGCTTCGCCAAGACGTGGGAGTTGATTTTGCAAGGACGTTGCCAATTAAGAGCGGACTTGTTAATTCCTTTCGGGAGCCCCCGAGAGGGCGGGCGGGCGAAAAACGATTATTTACGTGCAACGTCACGCCGGCCGGGGCCTTGGCTTCGGAGGCCTTCGAAATCGCGCTACGGATATAGTTTTTGCGCGAGTTGGAAACTTCCTTCGGACAAGTTTCCACGGAGGAGAGCGAGGGCAAGTTTCGAATATGCCGGGGCTATGCCGCTGACGCCTTTGCAAGAACCGCCGTCTCACCCACCCCTCTCTCTCTCTCTCTCTCTCTCTCTCTCTCTGAGAGACGCGACCGCCTCTGAAGAGTTTCTAATTAAAGATCCGAACTTTATTCCGTATAGCAAGAAATCGTTCTATGCGCGCGCGCGCTGCACGAAAACCGCGCTCGACCGAATGCGAGGGAAAGAGATGTTTCCGAGAGATCGTAAAGTTTGGCCGACGCAATGGCACAAGAAAGGAAAGGGAAGATAAAAGTTTGTTATTTCTTAGAACTTTATACTCTATGAAGTACGTACGCGCGTAACGATAGCTATTTCGTGTTTTTGCTAAACGCACCTTGAAGAGGAGACTTGACTTGGTCCCTCTCGGCCGCTTGGTGCTGCCGCGATTTTCTCTCCAGCTCGAGTTCCTGTACCAGCGATTCTGCGACAAAAAAAGGGGAGAAACAAACTGAACATCACAGAAAGAAGAAACGGGTGTACATGTGCGTGGGCAGAGAGCATTTATAATATAGTCTACACAATACAATACTATATATCCTACCATCTATGATCTACGCGCATAATGCGATCTCACTCCCAAGATTAATATCGGCGTTCGGCTAACGCGCTCCGCTGCCCCGGCTGTATCGAAGGTATCGCCTCGAGGAGTGAGAAGTCTGTCGCGCGGCAACGCACACGGAACGACGCGCGGATTCGACGAGGCGTGAACCACGCGCGCCAAGGATGAAACGAAGCGGTAATTAGTGCAAAACCGGCAGCTACAAGGGGGTGAGGAAAAGGGATAACGCACGAGCCGGGTAACGCACGAAGGCAGGCGTGAAAGGGCCGCGGGTTTGCTCACTGAATTTCGCAAGGATTAGGGTTGAAAACTGGAAAATGTCCCTTTAATGATATCGCGTCGAATTAACCGGTTCCTTCCTTGCGGACGATTTAGGCGACGAATTCATAACGACGTTCTTTAATCATTCGGATGTCTAATTGGCCTTTAAATTAAGAAGTTTGCAGAACAAATTCGAGAAAAATGTTTTTGCTTTTAATTAGCCTTCCAGTAAGAAAGAGGAGCTTTTCGTAATCCGTTGGTCGAGCGTCGGTTACGGTATGAAAATCACGTAAGCGGAGGATTAAGGCGAAAGGACGATGGCGTGACGAAGGGACGCGAATCTGATCGGTAAGCGTGAAATGGCGCCTCCTTGGGCAAAGAGCAATGGTAAAATCCAATTGCGAGGCCATTAAGTCCCGGTTAACCAGTGCGCGCGGACGCGCGAGAGAATTCGGCATTGGCGATGCCTCTCTCTCTCTCTCTCTCTCCCTCTCGCTCCATCTTTAACCGCCCGTACCGGAGACGACGGGGCCGAGATTCCATTATGCTTTGAGCAACAATAGCTGAGGGCTGTTTCGTGGCACGTGGGTGTGAATTCGTGCGTTCGTCAGGACCGTTATATTCCACGACTTTGGGGCACGCGGAGAGGCAATGTTTGCGTTTCGCTGAGCCAAATTACCTCTCGCGCCCTTATCCGCGCGCGGGGTGTCGCGTCCCTTTGATATCCAAATGACAATTTAACTGCTCCAGATATAACCCGCCGCCCGTTCGCTCGTTCGCTTCGACGAAGAAGAAGGGTGAGCGAATGGGGAAGGAGAGACACCTCCGGCACGATTTAAGGAAACTTTCTTTCGCTGCGTCGAGTCGAGATAAAGGCCGCAAAAAACATTCGCATATTACGTCCGATATCGGTGCAAGAAAATGCGACGACAAGTTGGATCCGCGATTTCTCGCGTCGCGCCCGCAGCGTATCGAATGAAGAAAGAAGAATCCCGTGGAATTCTACGGACAGTGTATCCGCGAGGAAGAATGAGCCGCTAATAGTTTCGCTACCGTCTTACACACCCTGACAAATCGTCCGGACAATGAAAACAATTTCAGACCGAGCCTGCGCGAGGGCTCTCTCTTGGTCGGGGCCCTAAACGATTCGTATTGTGTGCCACCATATCGAGCCATCTTTTTGGGAGAAGGGGGAGAGAAGGAGATGCGACGCGAGGCGAGGGCCTCTAAAAAAGACGTCCGCTGAAAAAGAAGAAGGGCCCCTCTATGACTCCGCGTTTATCCGCACGTAATTAACTCCGGCACAATACGGGCCACCTTGCCTCTCTCTCTCTCTCTCTCTCTCTCGGGTAGAAGAAGAAAACGAACGAACCGAATCGAAATCGAGGACAGGACGAGAGCGCGAGAGAAGGCGCGATCGCGCGGAGACTCGGGGATCTCGCAAGAACTGGAAAAACTCCCAGGCGTATTGTTCGCCCGGGATCGAGAATACCGGGCCGCCTCGTATCTACCGATCTGGCGAGATGGGATTCCACGAAGGAAGGCAATAACGCGCGATTGATAAGCACTCTCGCACGCGGGACTCCTCATCCCGCCGGGAGTTTTTGCGATTACTTAGTGTAAAAGGGAGAGATTTCCTCTCTCTCTCTCTCTCTCTCGCGCGAATCCGCCCGAGGACGACGTCCTTGGGATTTAACCGGGTTTGCCGCGGCGGCGCCGGATATCGGATATAACCGTCAACGTGATCAAGTGCACTCGACATGTTTCGTTCTTGCGCGAGCGGCGAAAAAGGCAATTTAAGTATCACATCGAAGCGACGTCGAGGATCGGGGAGGCCCGAGGGTTAGCGACGTTCTGCGAGCAAAAAAAGGATACGGAACGGGGATGGACGGGGGGCATCTAGAGGGTTGATTTCGCGTAGCATCGCGTTTTAATGCTCTGATCTTTATGTAAAGCAGACGAGGTTCGGGAGGATAGAGGGAAGAGATAGAGAGCGAAATATGGGGAGGTGGGTAAACGAAAGATGCGAATGAAAGTGGGGATAGGCGCTTGAGCGTCAAGCCGACCGTGAAATTGTATGAATCAAGGAGCCGCGCGGAGACACAAAAAGCGAAAGAATCGAGAGCGGAGAATAGAGTAGGAGACGAGGGAAACGGCGAGGAATCTCGCGCGACTCTTATAATTTCAAATTTCCGTCGGCTGCAAATCAGGCCATCAACCTTCTTTCATCTCTTAACTTTTCTGCCCCGAGAGTGAGAATCCCTCTTTTTTTCCTCCTATGCATATCTCTGAGAAAGATTGGCGAAAAGAGTCTCGAAATTTACTCGGGGCGATATAAACGCGACGCTAATGCGCGGTTCGGTCGACTTGTCGATGAAGTCTGCTTCAGCGACGTCGTCAATATTGTTTGAAAAAAAAAAAAGAAAAAAAAGAAAACAGGCTATATCGAGGCTATACGATCGATTCACTCGGTAATTGTTCTTTTTTCCCGCGCATAAATCTCTCTCTTCAGTACGCCATTCGCGTCGCAGCTCTCCAATAACGAATTTAATCCCCTCGCAATCCGCGCCGCCTTCCAATCGACGCCTGCGGCAACGCAAAATCGTAAGTCGGGGCAGACTTCTTTATTTTTTTTTTTTTTGTATGTACACGGGGAATTTAAGTTCCGAAAACAACATCGAACAGTCATTTCGTTTCTTTATCCAAGTATAATATTCAAGTCGATTACAACGATTCGAAGAACCTACGCCGCGCGTATCGTCATTCGTCTTAAAGCAACCCCAATATTCCCTGACAGCACCTACCTACAACCAGCGCGTATAGATAGAAACTCCGCTGCCCCGTCAGCCTTCTCCTGTCCCGGCTTGTTCGCCGGAAAACACCACGTCGTCGTGGATATATTCAGGACGAGGGACGTTTCGAAACCCCACCTTCGGTCCTGCCTAGCAACCTGCCGCCCACGTCGCCGCTTCCTTCAGCCTTTATATCGCTCGTATACACGCGTCACGCTTTATCACTCTTGCACACGGGGGTTATTGTCTCTCCCGTAATGGTCTACGCACAGGTGCGACGCTCGCATTTTCTCGGGCGGCCGGAAAGCTGGAAATAATCTGGCGTTCAACAGAATCGCGTCGTCGTGATTTTTTTTTCTCTCGAGGCGACACGCTCGATTTGCGAGACTGTCGCTTGAAACTTTTTACCTCTCTCTCGACACAACGTTCGATATTTTTTCCCCCCTTTTTAAGTTTGTAGATCACTCGGTGCGTTCAAGGTTAATTCATTCGTGGGAGCGTTCGAGTGCCGCAGCGTGTAAAAGAGCGCGAGTCGTTTAAGGAACGTTGTAACCGTAGCTGTATGCTGATGTCGATCTCACCGAGATACCGAGATGAAAAATGGCGCTCCTCGATCGCAATTATTTCCATTTCGGAATAATTCTCCAAGACTTCGTCCATCAAATATTAATGCCCGCGCGGCGATTTAGAATGATTGCGGTCGCAGGATGGAAGATGAAGGTACGGTGCACACCGTGGAGCAATCTCAGAGTGTGTGTGTGCGCGCGAGCGCCATGTCTCTACGTGCAGTAGAAGAAACACGATCGAGCGCAGGAAAGAAAGAAGGAGGAGGTAGGAATACAGGGGGAGCAAGGCGGAGAAGAGAGAATAAACGGTAGAGACGGCGAAGCTGAAGACGATGGTTTGTGGAGGAGGATAAAAGAGAGTGTCGGAGCGACGGAGAAAGCGAGAGTGCCGCAAAGTCGGGAGGGAGGGCATTGGTAGGGGGCGAGATTATGGTTGCTGCGAAATTATTGCATATAGTCTGAATATTAAAGCGTGGCGGAGTGCCTCGTCGTACTCTACGGATGGTGGACGTGGAGGAATCGCGCGTATGCGTGCGTGTGTGTGTGTGTGTGTGTGCACGCGCGAGAAGGAGGAAAGGAAGAAGAGAGCGAAGCAATGCGGGGGTACAAGGGGCTGGAGGAGGTTCGAGGGAAGGGAACAACGCGAGTGGAAGAAGGAGGGAGGCCAGGTAACGCCACCGAGGTGGCCGCCGGGGAAATTACGGCTCCTTCCTTACTTGCGAGAGATGTGCATAAACTCTGCATTACACCCAGTGGCGCTCAATGAGTGGTGCGAACGATCGCATGACCGATCCGCCGAGCGAAAGGATTATCTAGTATACGAATCCATCTACAACTTTGGAATCGGCTCGAGAAGAAATCCCGCTTCTTCGAAGATCGATCGACGATGCATTTTTCACAGCCACGGAATTTTTCAAGGTATGCTCTTTGGATTGTCTTAATTCTCGCGAAACGATGTCGAACGTTGAATAACGCGAAAGACGCGTATGAGAGCCACCGTTCGTATAGAATGCATGACTCGAAGACCTCTCCTTCTCCGAAGTACCCACCTTGGACGACGTTACGCCGAACTACCTCTTTCCCTCTCGCTCTTGCGATACCGTGTCGCTCGTCGTTCACCCCCGTCTAAATCTCCGTTGTTTATTGCAAATGGATTCCACATCATGATGCCCGGGTGGCTGTGGGACCCTATTCAAATACCTCGTGTTTCCTCGTCAGGGCCAACTCGGTTCCTTCCTCCCCTCTCTCTCTCCTTCTCTTCCACCCTGCACGGGGTTGTTATTGCCGGCGGCGTGATTGCTCTCGCTCGAGATCTTTCGAATAATTTACTTTGCACGATACCACCACGACACACACCTCCGCGCTCCGTCGTCGTCTCCCTCGCCCTCGGGGTCGATCCACCCTGCCTTCTCTTCTCTCTTTTTTCTCTTCTTTTTTTCTTTTTTGTCGGGGTAATCGAGGATCGAAAGCACTCGGCCGGAAGATCAGAAAAATTGAGTGGATCCTAATACGGGAATGCGATTATCCGAATTAGCGGATCCCGCCGCTGGATCTTCACCGCCTTTTCCTCCTTCCCTCCTTTGCGCTCCCCCCTTGAATGCTCCGACTCGAAGTTTCCAACACGCGACTGCTACTTTCTCGAATTACCGCAAACTTCACAATGCAGTTTACACGCTAGTTCTTTCTTCGAGACAATTTTATTTTCTTCCGTCGAACAACCTTCGCGAACTCTTTCCGCGGAATATATCTCGCCGAGAGAGAATGTAACTCGACGCGGATGGGAAGAGGAGGACGAAGCAAAGGAGGCGGGAATGATAAGACGATGGTTGCGATAAGTGGCTTAAGTATCGTCCGCTTATATTTTTCTGGCTCGCGCGGTTCCGTGGAAACACACCGTGGGAACCGCGAATCGACGGTGCATACGACGCGAGGGTGAAATAGCGTGCCGTTGAGAGACTGACCTTGGTAATTTTGCCAGAAAGCCGACGCCTGGCTACCGATGAGATCCAACCCGTATCCCCATGCGGGCTTCTCCGGCGTCGACGGCTGCTGAGACGGACGCGGCACTTGCGCCTCCCGGTACTGCTGGGCCGCTGCTTGCTGCTGCTGATGGGGTTGCTGCGACGGCTGTTGCTGCGAGGGCTGCTGTTGCGACTGGGAATGCACCGGGCTCCCTTCCGGCGCTTCCGAACTCGTGCGCGCCTCCGCCGTGACGTTTTCTGCGTCATGGAAAAAAAAAATTGCAGCCGCTCGATTATCGCGATTCCCATATCCGCGCCCGTATCCTTTCGCGTATAACGTAATAACGTTCGAATATGAGCGGCGTGGAATTTTGAAGAAAAAATAAAGAAAGAGAAAAAAACTCCATAAGATATCGCAATCGTCTGTCGTGACTCACCCCGAAGCCGACGCCAAAGTGGCGGAGTGGCGTGCCGTTTGATTCGAAATTAGTATAGCGACTCTCTGGATTTGACAGGATTAATCAGCGGTACCGGTGACGACGACGCGGCGGCGGCGACGGCGGCGACGACGGCGGCAGCAGCAGCAGCAGTAGCAGCAGCAGCAGCAGCAGTAACAGCAGCGGCGACGGCGGCAACGACGGAGAGAGGTAACGCGAAAACGATGAGGTTGAAGAGATGATGGAGTAGAGGGGGTGGTGAGGCCAGGACGAAACATTATATCGGAATAAGAGATTTCACTTAAAGGGTTTCGCGTTTGAGTTTTGGTAGTGACAGGAAGAAGGGTGGCGTGCCGCTTGTTGCTGCTACTTCTACTGCCGGAGGATCACGGGGGCGAGACGACGCGCGGTGCCTAGTAGTAGTAGTAGTAGTAAAGGTGCCGAGACGACGGGAAGAGGGGAGAGGAGAGGGGGGGGAAGCAGGCTGCCATCAGCCAGCTCGACGACGGAGAGGGATTGCATCGCCGGCAGGGGGATAAGTAAGGAATCATATTCTGCCGGGTGTCAGGCTGTTTGCTCTGCCTCGGCGTATTAATTAATTTATTCCGAGATCACCGATGGCCCCGGGGCTCTTAACGAAGAGGCTGACGACGAGCTCGAGAAATCCTAAGAAAACCCGTCCATTTGCAACGATAGCCTGAGTCTAATCCAGGAAAATCGTGACTGTGTATTCTCCAGGATACGCGAATGGCGTTGAACACAGATGTTGTCGAGAAGCTTTCATCTCGCGAAAATCTTTTTTTTTTTTTTTTTTTTTTTCCGTTCACACACTTACCGGTGATCGCTCTCACTTGTTCCGAGGACGCTCCCGTAGCTTTGAGAGCCTCTTCCAATTGCGTGCGCCTCTTGACCTCCAGATCCAATTGATCCTGCAACCGTTTCCTCGCTCTTCGCTCCTTCTTTAGCCGTTTCTGATAAACCACTGTAAACAGAAAAGAATAACGCGACGATTAGAAACACATCGTCTCCGCTCGTTCACGCGTTTGGAGACGCGCGCCAACGTCACGCTGACCATCTCCGTGGCCCCCAGGTGGCGGAACCCCGGCGTGGTCAAAGTCCGATAGAATTATCCTGGCGTATCATTCTACAGCGGGGGGTTTCACACTGCGCGCGGCGGGCCCCAAAACTCAAAGTATACGTCTAAGCGGGGGTCCGATCGTCTCGTCAGCTACCGTGCGCGGATCCGACGGTAGCCGGTCGAGTCGAACGTCCGAGACGAATCGTTTATCGATTTCTCTCGGTTAGTCTCGCGCCGCTAAAAAGATACCGAGAGTGTTCCGACGGAGTAATGCGCATGCGAGGATTAAGCAAATGTTAATTTATGCAGACGCGTAATGCGAGAGAGATCGCGTACAGTTTATGTTATCTTTGGATTATTTCATTACGATCTCGTCGAGATGGTGATTAATGATTTAGGATAAAATATGTGAGAGAGAGAGAGAGAGAAAATAAAAAAATAATAAAACGTGTGCTTTATCTCTCGCGACACGAATAATTCCACGATGCGAATTCAGTACGGAATGGAGAACGTTTAATGGAGACTAGAATAGATTTTCAATCCACCGTGAAATATTTTTCTTTATACTTTGTTTAAGATTATGGCACGGAACAGCGATTACATTCAAGGTAGCTTATCGTTGACCACGAACGTTACAACAATATAGGTTGCTTGTTGTTCGCTTTTTCATGTCGTCGAATCATCCATCCGTTTTCGTTGCTATATAGACACTTTAGCGCTTCTTTTCCAGATTTTCCCGCTTATTTTAATCGCAGACGCGGTCGTACGCGAAATCAATCCGTCCTGATGCGCGCACACTGCGCGATTTGCGTTCGGAACTCTCGTACGCACATAGTTACGCACGCGTGTATAGGAGAACGCGCATTCGACACGGCTGTGCGCGTACAGGCCGATCGGTTTGATCGGTCGAGAGAGTCAGCGCGTCGGCGTCTTTGAAAGAGATGCAGGCCTTCCTCCCTCTACCCGCTTTAATTATTTTCCGTCATTGTGAACCGACGCGTCCGGCCATTGTGTCTTCTCCCATCGGGGCGCATCGACACGTTTGACTCGATCTCGTCTCGCGAACTCTTCGGCTTTGTTCGACGACGAGAGAGTGTTCCTCCGAGTCGGACGAATAATGGAGCGCCTTCATCGTCGAGACGATGACCGGTTCTTGCTCGCGATTCGATTCCCGCGAAAAGGTAGAAAAAGGGGCAGAAAGATTAGGATCGAGAGAAGAAGCCAACGGTGTAATTCCCCATTTCTTTTGGAACAGTCGCGGGAAAAAAATGAGAAGATAATTATTCAATTTTGTTCGATATCAATAATTTATGAACGAGACTCGGGGATTTGATATCGCGATTTTTGTGGAAGAGGGCGAAAGACGGTAGCTGCGTTCTCTCCCTCTCGATTTAACATCTTACACTCTGACAGGTAAGACGGTAGCGCGAGGCGCACGTCGCCGTGGGCGTCCTCGAGTACGACGACATTACCTTACCGTCGCTTTCGCTCCGGTATAGCATGGAGATTAGGCACGCGGCTTTAATCGCCCTCCACTCGGGCGTCATTTCTGGAACGTAGGTAATCAGAGATCATATTGCCGCCGTGAAAGAAAAAAAGCATCCAATCCACTTTAGATGCAAATGTATTTCTTATTCGGCCACACGCACACATGGTGGAATCGCGTATCTATATCATTCCCCGCGACAGGAGCGCCTCGTCCAAATTGACGGATGCATCGTTCGTCCGAGGCGCGAAATAAGGACGGCGAGTGTCATCTCGATCCTATCGATCCTCTCTCTCTCTCTCGCTCGCCGGTGGCCACCGGTTGAGCATCACTGATACGTGATTGATTCTCGGCAGACAAGGCGCAGACAACCCCTTCGTCCCTTCTACCTCTTCGCCATAACCGTGTGCCCCTCCCCTCCTTTTCCTCCCTGTCTCGCTCTTCTTCTTATCCACTTTGGCACAACGCGCCTCCGAGACGTCTCTCCTCGTTCCTTTTCTTTCGTTCTCTCTTTCACCTGATATTTCGTTTCCTTCGCCCTTTCTCTCTTTCCTACGCGAAACGAAACAAGGGTGGAGAGAAAGTGGGAGAGGGTGGGGGCGGACGAGGAGGGCAGAGGGAAGAGAAGGTTGCGGGCGGCAGAGAGGAAGAAGGGGGCAGACTTCTCGCAGTGACGAGAGGGTCGGAGCGAGAGCGAACGCCGGGGTACGGGGGGGACAGCATTATGATGCAAAGATGGCGCGGCGGCGGCACCCTAGAATTAGCTCGAGCACTCGCCATTGGCCGCTCGGCAAACCACTCCTTCGGTAACAACCGACTGCATACGTTGCATACTAAGGATACACGCGAGCCGGCAAAGAATTGCCCCGAATGGGCTCTCTTCGACGACGTCGTCCACCTACGGTGCCGGGAAGAAAAGTGTATCTTCTTGCGGCGACGATTCTTCTTTTTCGCCCCCTCCAAAGTTCAGACCGATTTTTCAATTTCTTAGACAAGATTTTATTATATCGTTGCATTTTTAATAAAAAGTATAAATGACGGAGATTGTTGTTTTCGCGATTCATCATTCGAATTCATCCATAATTCCGTCGCGCAGACTCGACTTGGAGAAAATATCGATGCGAGAGATAGCGATCGAACGACGAGGACAGCGGGTCGTAGATCGTGCAGAAACTAGTAATTTGATGCTAACGGATACGCGAGAGGTATAGGATAGAGAGAAAGAGATTGCACGGGTATATCTCTCGGAATAGTGTCTGAAGATGGCTGGGCGCGGACGTTGCCGCACGGGGGTCTAAGGTTATAGGGATGATTTCAGAGTCACGGTCGCACGATCTCGCTCTCGCTCCGACGAGATGCGGGAGTTCGACTACGGACAATACTTTGCCGGTCGCGAAAAACGCTCCACCGCTCTCTCTCTCTCTCGATACTCGCCAGAGATACTTGGGCTTTTTGCGCATTACTTCGTCTTGTAACTGCGACGTAATATACTCGCTCGAGTATACGAGCGCTCCAAAGATTTCGACAACTTTTTCCTTGCTTTTCTCCACGACCCTCGTTCGCGATGGATACATTTTCCAGCGTTATCTAGTTTTCATCTTAATTATCTTCAAGCGTAATAAAGTACTTTGATCGTACAATATCTATCCATCTACATCCGACATCGCTCATTCGGCGATTTCATCGCATCAAGACTGACTACCGCGTGCATGCGAGCGTAAGGATGACATCGGTGATTACGCAAGGCGCGTAATGAAAGGGAAGAAATTTGCGGTCGATTATGAAATCAGAGCCGATGCAGTCTGTCGATGCGGCAGATCGCAGATAGTCTGAAACGCCGAGAGCGAGCGAGAAAGAAGAACAGGCGAGCGAGAGACGGACGGAAAGAGACAGGCGGAGAGGGTGGTCCATTAGATAATGCAGTCAACAGAGAGAGAGAGAGAGAGAGAGAGAGACCGACCTCTCTCATCGGGCACGTCAAAATACATCAGCTACCACTGTGCGCTCGCTCAGAAATCCTCCGACCGCTCTTGGCGTGGACTCCCCACGTCGAAGACTCGTTGACTCTCTCTCTCTCTCTATCTCTTCCCCCTCTCAAAGTTCCCGACAGGACGCGATAGATCTCGATCGTCGATATCGAGTTCCGCGGCGACGGGAGGGTAGGTCAGAAATCGTCGGGTTCAGACTCGCAAGAGCGTACCGAGACTACTTAATCGCGGTCGCGATGAAAGGCATAACATCCAAGTTATGTCGTCGCATTCATTATTCTCAACGCTTCGATTAATTTCGATTTTTATCTCGACAGAGATGCGTATTTTAAGAAAAACATCTCGCTCGCGTGTATAAAAATTAATCGTACACGATTTCGTTACCGTTGCGGTCGATTACATATACAACGCGTCCACCGGGCGCAAACAATCAATTGTGGGGCCAGGAAACGTAATAGCCGAATCCAATCAGGAAACCCGCGGAAACTAATATAGAGCCAGACCGTCTTACCCGGACTGTGCTTAATACCCGTATAGCCGAGAGTGAAAGAGAGACTGGGAGAGTGAGGGGCCCTCCGGGAATAGCAATATGATTTACATTTTGCGGTTATATTGACCATTCTCGCCACCTGCAGCACTCGCTCTCCTTCGTGGCCCCCGGGCTGCGCCAAGAATGACCACATTTCGGAAAAATTAATAATGACTCGCCTTCGGGTTTCGTTAAACGATCGCCGTTCTCGCGCGATATCAGCGAGACCAACGTTTCTTTTCTTCCCCGATTTCGCGCGCGATAATAAATAACAATTTTCTAATTACTTACTACACACGTTTCTCTTTTAAGCGTTTCGCCCCCTCTGGCGAATGATATACGTAGCGTTAATCGGTGTCAGCCAACGATTTTTTCCCTCGATTGTCCGTCACACGCTCGCTCGCTCGCGGCACTGCGTTTCACTCGTTAATTATTCTTATTTGCGGAATAAGCACGCGAAAACGATGCCAACAACGAGTCACCCTTACTCGTCCCCAAGGAGATACGACTTACGTAAAAGGGACGAGACGTTTATATACATATACACGTGTAATTACGATTCACGAAAGCGGACAGACGTCTGTCTGCGTCCTTGTAATCTCCATAGGACGGCGTTCTCGAAAGCAACCGAAACACCCGTTATCCGTGAGGGAGGAAGAGGATGGTTTGGTTCTTAGGCACCTACTAGAAAAGCCGCGGTTACAACAAGCCGTGCTCGCGCGCTCTTCTCCGACGGACAGCATCTGTGCTCTACGGCTCTCGATATATCCATATAAAGCTGTGTGTTGAATAATATTACACTTAGCCCGTACCCAGTCGGACGATTATAGTTGGCGGCAACGTCGATAGCAGTAGTTGGACCGTGCATCCTGTGCGAATGCTAATTTTGGAGGGCGCCGAA